AATGGTGGGATGGAGGATGTGAGCAAGATGTGTGTGATGTTGGGCATATACCGGTCCTTATCAAAAGTATGTACTATACTTAAAATGAGTCACTTACTATTATCTCATCTAATCAATAAAGTTTAAGACCAAAGGAGTGCTCTCCAGTACTAAGGATCAAATAACAGGGATTGCTCTCCGTCACCCCCTCCGAACTGGAACTTCACTCCAATCTGCTCATCTGATCCCTTTCCCAGGATCCGGGGGGGATGGGTGGCTCTGCTGTCCTTGGCTAGATTTGACCATCAGACTATGTGTGTGGGCCTCTTCACCCTAATCTCTATAACTCATACTAATCTATTCAATAATGTCAACTTCATACAGATTACGAACTCCTGCGTAATATGCTTCTTCAAGCGTTCAAAAAGAACAATTTCACATTGACCATGAAACTCGATTGGGAGAAAACAGGACAACATGGCGATCTCTATAGCTGGAACCGCTGCACATTGTAAGCCGACTTCTGGTTGGATTGATCCCCGAAGCATGTTGAGGATTTCAGACCGAGAGTCATCTCAAGAGATCAAACTGCGATCACGCTGGAACAGTTGTTGCAGATTCCTGGACGGTTGGAGGAAATCACTGAAGAAGTGAGCAGCGTAGCCATTTACGTGTTGAGTAATTTGGGGGCAGGTGTTCTGCTTCAGATGGCCTTGAAGTCTATAGAGAAAGGATTGTATGCGACAAATTCCTCACAAGACGACACTCTAGAAGCAAATAACTTAGTGCCGTGGCATAAAGTAAAGACGAAGCATAGGACAAATCCATACAATGTGAGTTATAATCTTTCGTAGGAAATGCCCGAATTTGAAGCCTATAGCTTACGATTATCAACCAGCGAAAAAAAAATCACAAGTCGGTAGCGGGATATGTTCTTTTTTCCCTAATAGGACCACGCTTTGTATTTCAAGGTCAGAAGCAGCTATTAATGAAATCATCAACGAACTTTTAAAGGAATCTTGCGCGGAAAATTCTTGCACTCTTTCCTAACATGAATATGTCAGTTGTGATCACTGGAAATAGCACACAAAGTTTCACGCATGAAGATTCGGTTTCTGAAGAGAAACAAACGTACAAAAACTACACGTTATGGACCATCGAAGGACCAGGAGGCAGAGCCAGGCGAGGCATGGAAAGAAGACGGCGTTTGGCCGGCTACGTACCAGGCGACGCAATGAGAGAATCGGGTTAAAGCGCGCGATTTCGGAGAGTGGAGACAAATCGATCGATGGAATAGGATGGAGTAGAAGTGTAAGATGTGAATGCAACGAAGCAGAAGGCCAGAAAGAGCTTCTAGTGAATGCACTCCAAGAACCAAGTTTGAGCATCCCCGTCGCCAGCATTCGTGAAAGACGTCCGTGGGCAATTCGAACGCGTAGCAGCCTTTTCGAGTTTTCGAATTTCTAATCAAAACGAAAGCAATACTTCAGTTCTTTTCACTATTATCGTGGATAATGAGTCTCAAGCCAGTGATTTATGGCTGAAATAGAATCATGATTTTTCCGCGCAAGATTCCTTTACGAGTTCACTACTAGCCACCAGTACCTGCAGAGAAGCTACGATAGTCGTCGATATTTCGACTGAAACATTTCTTTCCTCTTTTGAAAGCTGGCCTGGCTGGATGGGTAGCAAAGGCATGCCCTGTTGGTTGGTTTCCGTGCACGTGAACGCCACATTTGTGATTGTCCCTAGGGTCTATACTACAGACCGAAGAGAAGCGTTCACACGACCTCTGCCTGGGTTGTGCCTTTGAAAATAACCAATGTCCGCAGTTTCTGGTAGACAGGCGCGCAGTCGCGTAGCGGCTAACATCTTGCTCTATCTCAAACGAAATACAGTGCTAAATGTGCGTCAAATCATAAAAACCTCCGCCAATCTGCAATTGTGCGTGTTTAGCCGACGACAGCGAATACTATGGATACCGTCAGCCACACGGGCTATATGTCCAAAGAGGTACGTATTCTGGAAACTGTTACTCAGTCTGGACACGGCGGTGGCGAGATTAATTGTCCTCTTAGGGCGAATTAGAACTATTGTTGAGTGCTCTTTCAGCTAAGTGAAGCCACATACTGAAGTTCTTGATCAAAAATTGGGGGGGGGGGGGAGGATAATCCCTTTAAGTTATACAATACTTTCTGTAGGAGAAATTCTTTACTTTTAGCACATTTTCATCTTTACTTTCACACATGAGCTGAACAAATATGTTCAAGTAAAGTTGGGGGGCAGAACGGAAACTTAAACGTGGTTTTCCGTAGTCAGGAGATCGTCCCGGGGTCTAATTCATGCAAGCCTTCCAGTGTAATGATCCTGGAAAAAAATGAGTAGGCAAATTATAATCAAAGTATGTACATCCTCTGTCGAATGCGATTGCCATATCTTCAAAAAAGAACCCGGCGTGACTTTCACTAACTAGCCGGGTGGGCGGGGCGCTTACTTGAAATCTTCGCCACAATGAATGTGAATGAGAGCCAGAATTTGTTAGGAGCGGATACATTCATAGAATGACGGTATAAGGACATTTCTCAATTTAGCCAGCTCGCTCGAAGTATCAAGCCGCAAAGGGCAAATCAAAGGAGTACAAGTACGATCCATCAGCACACAGCAAATCGATTGGCGTGACTTCGAACACGCAAGGAGGGCCGAAACGTCGCTACAAGAAAGCCCAGGTCTGTACACATCAGTCCTGAGAGGATCAGTAACACTTTAGAACTCTACACCATTTCCGAGTGTAAGGCACATCTGTGGCGCATCCTGAATTAACTAAAGAAACTGGTGCGTTATCGCTTTCAACAGCCCTCACAAGATAGATGGTGCACTGGGTTCCAGCGCTATGGGTAAAACACTTCGCCACGAGCAGAATCGAACCCGCATCTCTCGCTCTTCGGGCAAATTTTCCTACCAAATACGCCACAGGGCATCACTTCACTCTGTCTCAGTTTTCAATGATTTATTCAAAGAAGGATTCCACGACAGATTCATAAGTCGAAGAGGGGAATAGACCTAGTCGGAAGGTACGTGGCTCCCCTGAGTGGCGGGACGATAGGCGTTTCACGGCGAAGCGTATGTCCCCAGCGGCTTAGCAGGGCCATACTGTGATACCCGCGCTGCTGGCTACCCGACTACTCCTTTGCCGTCTGATACTAGCTGGTAAGCAGAGAGAGGGAGAGAGCGTTAGCGATGATGAGGGTAACACCGTTGAGAATTGCATCAATGAGGGAAACGGGCAAAGGAAGGGGCCCATTTCTCGGATTTTTTATCCCTGAAAAGCAGCCCATTTGAGAGCATCGTCAAGGTGGCCAGTGGAGTAGGGACATGAACGAAAAAAACATAGAGAAAACGATCCAGACCTGTTAGATGGACTCTTTCTCTCACGGAGGGGCATGCGCGCCATTGCTTGGCAACGGAATGCTCTCTCAGCTAAACGGCGAGATTCAGACAGCGAAGGGTTTGGCAGGACAGAGGCTCGAGCGGCACGGGTATGACCTCGCTAGGCCGCTAGAGAATCCCTTCGCATAGCGAACGCGCATTGCCGACGCTAGTAAGATTCTGCACCCTTCCAACTATGTTTATTTTCCATTGTTTCGACTCCGAAACCTTATCTGGCATCCCCTTTATACGGCGTTTATCAGACCACACTTACAATGTCGCAGACGGATTACCAAAACAATGGGTGGATCGCCGGAGACTGAAAGCTTTAGCAGTGCGGGCGATCAACCCGCCCTGGGGCAAGTTTTGACCTTAAGCGCTTGCGAGAATTTTTTCGATGGGACTCCAGCGCGTAGAGCAGATCAACAGCAAAGACATGCAAGTGTAGTGCCTGGTCAAAGGTGTGGTCAAATAAATTCTAGTTTCGGTTTTGCTTTGTATTGCCCTGGTAACATGCGGCGCTTCCATTGAGAATTCGTCAACGGGGGGGGGGAGGGAGGTGGTGAATAGTAATCGGCATTTTTCGCTTGTTTCGTTCCCACAAAGGATGACATAGTAGTAAAGCTGTGTTAACGGATTTTATGGAACTTAAAAATTGCCCTCGTAACATGCGGCGCAATTCGTCAACGGGGGAGGAAGGGAGAGGTGGTGTTAAAATCGGCATTTTCCGTTTGTTTCGTTCCCACAAAGGATGACATAGGAGTAAAGCTGTGTTAACGGATTTTATGAAACTTTTAAAAAATTCTGTAAGTTTTTTGCGAGATTTTGGGTAGAATACGGTAGTCGCGGCTGTTTTCATCCTCAAAAGGATCACGGGCATTTGCAGAGTTATGAACAAAGACGTGAATTCATATCTAAATTCTGACATTACAGAATGTCGGGAAGAAAAAAGTAGGAGGAAAGAAGAAAGACACAACCACCACTTCTGCTTATAAAGCCCAAATTCAAGTGAGGAAAAAGGACCAACCTTGAAAGAGTGTTGGTTTCACACTTGAAACTGCTTTTGCCTTTGCGCTTAGGTCTCATTCATCTCATTATCAACCGATGGTTCAAATTTACACATTCTTTCCCGGTACCTGGACAGTTCCCGGACCAATGTCGGATTTTCTGTCTTCAGCACCGCCTAGTTTGGAGCACACTCGCCCACCGTTGACAGGGCTCTCCTTGCCAAAGTGTTTCGTGCAAATGTTGGTCCATGTCTCACCTATCCTAGTCATGAGCGAACCTCTTCTGAGAACTCAAAATTTCGGAGCTATTCGCCCATATACTTAATTCGCAGCGCCAGAGAATACTCCGCACCGACGAGACTGCGTTCGTGGGCCGTATCCTATCCTTTTCGCAGGTTAGGGGAAGAAAAGAAGCACTTCAAATTTTTTGCTTTCCCACGGCATGGTTTCCTTACTTTCAGCACATGGTTACTTTTAGACACACACAAACATCAAGTAGATCATTTTTCAGGATAACTTTGGTCGGGAAAACAAGCGCCTGTCCGTCGCCGGCGATCGCGTTGCTCCATCGCTTGTCGGTCGGCGAATGTGACGGCGGTTTTAGAAGGAATTTCTGTTCCCCTAGCTTGGGGGAAGGACGGGATATGGCGCCGGGTGTATCATGATAAAGGCGCCAATCTACGAAACATGCCATCTTATTCTTTGCGGTCCTGTTCAAACTTTGATAAACCCCCACCATGTTCTTAGCCCTTAGAATTTGCACTTAAGGGCGCATTCCGCGACCGAAAAGATAGAATTACTGCGCTAAAAACGGACGTACCTGTAAGCAAAAAGCTGAAAAAATCCTTTAAAATCACAGAGCTCGGATAGGAAGGGCGGGATCTGCACCCCGTCCACACTGTCCCTCATTGGCTAGCGGTTCCTCTACTACGGTAACATATCATAAATTACGATAAAGATGACGCCAGCCAATGAGAGCTATCTCGACGATGGGGCGAGCACAAACCAGGGTCAAGCGAGGCGTCGAGGAAAATTCGGAAATACGACCCCCCCCCCTCCCTCTGCCGAAGGCCGAAGTCCATGAAACAACCCTCTTTAAAAGCCGAACTATGAAAAAGTTGTTAATTCTCCACCAAAACTGCTCATAAAAAAGCCCTGCTACCCCATCGTCCACAAAAAAACTCGTTTAAAAAGTATAAAAGTGAAAAAGTCAAAGAATGATCATTAATGACGAGTCCTGTCAAACGAGCAAACGAGAAACGGAGCAAAAAACGTCAAACTAGTCACTAGAAATGGCGTACTATGACAACACCTCTTCTTTGTTTATTTCCTCCACAAGACTTACCAAATTCTAGTACTACACAGATTATGGTTCTCAATTTACACGTCCCCCTTTCGCTCAAAGGAAGCCTTGTAAAAGCCTTCGCCAGCTGTGTGTTGACTGGACTTTGGCGTTGACCGTGGAGCAGCTTATTTACTATTGAAATTTGAACAAATATTCAAATGATTATAACTTTCTTCAAAGTTAACGAATTTTCAATCTGAAAGCTGATTTGGGAGTTTTGTGAAGAGCTTTTTCTAATCAGTACTGAAATTACAGGAAGTTATAAGAAATAACAAATTTAGATCAAATAACGAGGAAAATTCGAGACGAGCACGAGTTTTTACACTTTCCGGAGCAATAACTTGCTTCATTTCCGTCAAATTCAAAAAGTTGATACGTCATACAAAACTAGAAGATTTTCTCTATCAAACGGTCGCTAAAGCAGCTTCATACGTCCAGTACTCAAAAAATGGCCACGTTGAGGATTTTTGCAAAATTAACGAGGAAAATTCGTGATGAGTGCGAGTTTTTACGCTTTCCAAAGCCATAACTCCGTTCAAACTCATGCAATGGAAAGTTAATACGTCATCATAAACTAGAAGATTTGCTCTTTCTAGGGCAACTAAAACTGCTAAATACGTTCACTATTTAAAAAATGGCCACGTTGAGGATTTTTGCCCGAGTACCGCCGAAAGGTACTTTTTCGCTACATTAGCACTATCCCAACGACTATAGCTCCTTGCAGGAGCGATTACATACTGAAGTAGGAGCAGATTCAAAATCCTCGTGCTTTTCTCTCTGCAAAAAGTGTAAAATTGTTTAGCGGGTCTCAACTTTAAAGGTTACATGCTTGTGAATTTGACGCTGAAGGCTGCGTTTCTTGTTGAATAGTGTACTCCTCTCTGTAATTTAACATGAACTCTTTCAGAACCCTCTTGATTCTTCCTGAATTAAGATTCGTTATCAAGATAGCCGTAGCTGAAGCGCGCGCAACCAACTGGGCCCACTCTGGGATGCGCCGTGTGCTTCACATCTCGTTGGATTTGAGGACCTACTTGAAAGATAAAATATCCCTAGAAAACGTGCGAATTTCGGATCCTTTGACTTGTGTGGTGATGAAACACTAAAGTCACTAAGAATTGCTAAGCGGACACCTCTAAATCACGAAGATTTTGTGTGGACGGAATCAATTGTTATTGGAAATACTCTGGCCTGGTATCGATTCGATCCTTAATGTTTGTCCTCCGACGATGATCCTACTGTATCAATCGGGCCCGATCTCTCCCCAGCGGGCCAATACGACCCCCCCTCTGTGACATGTCGAGGATTCCTCAACGCACGCTTGACCCTGCTGGCTCAAACGCCTACTCTCATGATTCAGAGCCCACTATTATTGAAAGGATTTTAGT